GGACATGTTAATTCACGATTATACTCTTAGATTTTTTTTATTTTTTATTTTTTTAAAAATAGAAAAAGACCTAAATGGACTATAGAATATTATTATTTTTTTTAATGAGAAATGTAGATAAATAGTGAATAATAAAAAATAAAAGTTAATTGAAAAAACTACTTCACAGCTTATTTAACAAACAATACTCAGCAACTTAAATCTATAATTCAACAGCTACACCAAACAGATTAACAACTTCTGATTAAAGTCATAATCTATAATCTGTTAAGCTATAATGGCCCTGTTTGGTAGAGCTGTGGGAAAGTGCTTATAGCTTATGCCTAAACAGCTTATAGCTTATAACTTTCAGCTTAAGCTGATTTCCAGCTTATTCTTAAAGCATCTCCTGCCCCACTCAAAGAATAAGCTGATTTCTGACTTCCACAAAGCTATAAGCTATAAGCTATAAGCTAAACCAAACACATCAAAATAGCTTAAATTAAGCTGAAAGCTGAAATAAGCTGTAAATAATTTCTGCCAAACAGGCACATTACTCTGCTAACTTACAGAGTTTGATATATGACCTTGCCAAAGAACATTTGGTTAATGAGGTCTGGTACTATATTGGAGTATTGCCTTATGTTATCAATGTTGATGTTTTATGAGCTATGCTGAGTACTCATTGCGATTTTCATCTTTTTGTACTATGTTGTTGTGGTGCTTTCAGCTTAGGTATCCTGATAGTTGCTTGGAATTCAAATATGATCCCACCTTTCCCATTAGAGGCTTGTACTATGACAAGCTAAAAGGGTGCCTTTTGAAGTTGGATTTCTTTGGGTCAATTGAGCCTGATGGATGCTACTTTGGTCAGCGCAAGGTACTTTACTGTATGCATTTTCAATACTTTAAAGAATCACCTAGATTAAGTTACGACAGGGAAAATTAGGAGGGTTGGAAAGGACTTTACTGCCTGGTGTCTGGCAGAAAAGATGCATTGCAAGAAAAGACTTGTACTCACTGACATCAGATTGTATACAAAAAAATCCGTTGGAGTCATTGTAATATTTATTTTTTTTGGTTATACATGACTTACCTACCAAAAAAAAAAAAAATCCGTTGGATTTCCGTGAAAAGAACTTCTAAAATGTTCCCATTTCCAAGCTAACCAAATGAACACGTGAAACAAATTTTTGATCCTTCGTTTATATGTAATTGAGTAATTGATGTATTCTACCCAATTTTGAAAAAATTGTTATCTTTAATTGTTTTAATCCATATGAATTTACAGTTTACCAAGAATGAAATAGAACAAATCTATGGCACAAGACATATTGGCCGTGATCAAGCACATGGACTCGTCAGTTTGATGGATTTCTTTTGCTTTAGTGAGGTCAGATTTATTATTGTTGCATATCTATAATTATGTAGCCTCAATTCATTTTGTTGGTTCTTCCTGTCTTCCTTTTCTTGTTCTTACTTTTGTCTTCATTCACTTAGTTTCATGGTTTTAATTCCCAATTTATCGTTTGACTGTGGGATGCTCATTCAGAAATTGTTTTATAATACACACACTTTGGCTTGAACATGGTCGACAAGTTTGGCTCTTCACTGCTAGAATTTTCACATAAAATATGTAGTTGCATTGTTTCTAAGTAAATGTGAAGTAGTCCATTTGAAGCATTTTCAGGATTTCCCTAAACAAATTGTATCGAGGGAAATCATTGAAGTTATGTATTTCTTTAATGAACATACAATCCTCTATATTATGTATAGGGTATAGTTAATTCAGTATCATGTCCCAGATTTTCGTCTTCTTCACTCCTTTTAATAATCCGACTGTAAACTCATCCATGCATGTGAAAAATGGGATAATCTGTGTTATTTATCCATTTTTTAAATTGGGTGTTTATATTCTCTTTTGTTTATCCCTTAATTATAGAGCATGGTAATTTGTTTTTCCGTCTTATGCTGTTCTCCTTTTCCATTTGTTAGAGACAGTGACGTAGGAGAAGTGCAGCAACACATGCTCTCTAACTCTTAGCAGAGTGCGCAAAATTAATGTAGGGTGGCATCATGGCATGGTAGGATTATTCAGGGGTGGATTACTGGTAGTTTATGAAGTTGGAATGGTTGGAAAAATTATAGAAGTTATTAAGGTTTTGTTGGGTAACAAAAGGGCAGGGATTAACATGAAAGATGGGAATTTGTGGACAGATCAGGGGCTGATTTTGTAAATCTTTATATCTTAGGTGAATTGTTTAGGGTTGTAAATTAGGATCAAAATTTAAAGAAAAGGTAAATTAGATCATGTTTGGAGGATTGAAGGCTTAAAATCATGGTATTAAAAACCAGCCGAGTTGTAGGGTAGTAGCCGCTTCGGACCGGAATTTTGGAAGCCCGAGTAGGTTACACCCCGCTTTACTGGGCTGAATCAAAATTGCCGCTGAATAGTCTGGTTCACTTTATTTTCAAATAAAAAGAAATTTATTTAAAATCTTAAAACTTGCCAGATTGCAACTATCCATATGGCTTTAAACGCATTGTATGCTGTAGTAGCCTATTAAAAAGAGATGTAGCACCCCAAGTTGGTTTGATTGCCTAATGTGGGATTGCTGTATTTTGTATAGAAGCAAGGAAATGAAACGGGTGTTTATAATTGACTTGTGATGGCTCATAGCCCTTCTCTACTCAATTTGGGATTGATGCCATATTGATAAAACGCAAAGCCAAGCTCCACATTTTCTTTCCTGAGCATTTTCCAGTGCATCAATCCATCTATTGCTTGTTAAGTGTGTATTTTTTCGGGGGGGTTAACATTAATTTTCTTTATTCATAAGCAATACATATTTTTAGATGTCACAATATTGATTAAAACATGACAAATTAAGATTAAACCCTATATATAGACTATAGGCAACTGTAACCTAATAGAACATCGACTTCCAATTAAGAAACTGAGACATGATTTCATAAGCTGAGTTTTGGAAGAAATGATAGAAGACCAAATGAATGCATTCATAGAAAATCATAAGTGGCATGACCATTTTAGACCTTATGGGTTCTGATATAGGATAAATGACCTGGGAGTCACGGGTTCAAACATACAAAACTTTTCCACACATGGGGGTAAGACTGCATATATTTAACCCTCTCTAGATCCACAGTGGCGGGAACCTTGTGCACTGGGACTGCCCTTTTTGATGTAGGATAAATGACATCATCATAGATGGCATTATGTGGATGCATGTACTGGACAATTAAAGAATGAAAAAAATTTGTAAACGTTGAGTCGTGTGCCTTCTAATGTAGAAATCTTCTTGTGTTCACATGACAAAAACTTTTGTGGCTCCTTTCTTTTGATTGACTAACTTTAGATATAAGTTTGGTGCTGGCTTCAATTGAAATGTATGATCTGAGTCAGTATTCATGAATATAAGAAAATTTATGTATTTTTTAATAGGCCATATAAGAAAATTTATTCTACCTGTTTAATACTAGAATCATGAGTTCAATTAAAATTTATCCTCTTATGTCCAAAACCATATATTATTGACTTTAATTTAAAATATCAAGTGTGATCATTCCCATCCAATCAAAAAAGCTTCTTCCCCCCCCCTATTGGATGAATGGATTTCCTGATTTTGATGAATTGCAAGATAGAAAAAATCTTTGTTTTTTTAATTTTTATCAAATTTATCAATTATTTGAGTCTTTACTATTTTCATTGTTATTGGTACCAATATTGATCAATTCAACTTAGGTTGCATTCTTAGTTTTTTTGTGCCATTAATGATAGATTTTATAGAAATGGAAATGTAACACTCAATTATACAGTTTGAACACAAAACCTTTATATATGTTGGAATGACATATTCCATTAAATATAGTTTATACATATATGTTCTCTGGAAGATTTGTGTGCTCAATGCAAAAGAATTGAGTTGTTCACGAACAACTCAAACTTGGCTCTTTTAAAACTCGTTTAAGATCGAGCCAAATTACATGATTGTTCCATTCCCTGATATACATGAAAAAGAAAAGCAAAAAAGTAATCCGATGTCTTTTATTTTAAGCACTGTTTCTGTTCTTTAGTCTTTTGTTTACAGTGCATATTTATATATACAGCATGGATTCCGTTGCATTTATGCTTATCGTTTGCCTGGAATCTTGATTTCTAGGTCAGCAGAACTATCTTTGTAATTTTTATTTATTTTCTCGTTAATTGCGCTTGGTAATTTTTCTCTTCTTGCCCTGAATATGCTTTTTGTTTATGATTTCGTAGGCCTGCCTTATTGCTGATATTGTGCAACATTTTGTTGACGCAAAGCTCGAGTTTGATGCACCCTATGTCTATCAAGATGTAAATCGTGCAATTCAGCATGTTCACGGAAGTGGCTTGGCTCATAGAGGAATTCTATCTGATCCGCAAAGATACCAAGTTAAAGATGTGCGCGACGATGATCTCTGTTCTAATATTTGTATAATTTGCTTTTATTGTTTGAGGTCTCCTGTTCTTAACTCATTCTCAGGTTAGTGATGGCTCATTGTAAAATGGGACAACGACTATACTAGTATATTTGGTTAATTTTAATCTATTATATTGGACACTTGAAAAATTGTTATTGTATGGTTAAACCTTGGAGAGTCAGTTGCAACGCTTTCTCAGGATGCTAAAGGAAAATGGGAAGAAACTTTTCTTGTTGACCAACTCTCCGTATTATTTTGTGGATGGAGGGATGCGCTTTATGTTAGAGGTGACACTCAAAAAAGATATCCCCTGATCACCTTTATTTTTATATTCCTTTTGTATTTGCATCCTTCTACATATTGCTGGAACTCCTGGAGTTTTTTTCTAGTTTCAATTTGGACTTTGTGGTTACTGTTTTTGAAACTGAACTTGTCATGGTAATTATTGCTTGTCGTTTAATTATGTATAAACTTTCCTAATTTTGTCAGCATTCTACTTTTCTGATTTGCCTATTGTTGACCCGTGTTATATTAAATGCAAATTGCAAACCATATACAGAAAACTGTATTGGGTAAGACACGTGCATATAAGAGCTCTAAAGAGAGCTCCAGTAATGTGGCAAGGAGTGGGGCGCACATGTGATGTGATGTGATGTGATGTGTGTGCCTATGTTTTTTTTTTCTTCTCTTGCCACTTCACTAGAGCTCTCTATCATTGTTGGTTTAGTTAAATGTAAAAAAACATTAACTACATTAATGAGTAAGAAGTATATACACTTTGCCGTAACCAATTTTTTGGGGGCCAACTTGTATGGCTGAAGCCCTAAGCAGGGATAACTCTAGGATTTGCTGATCCTAACAGTACATTGTACAGCAGAGTTCTCAACCCTAGAGAGGGATCCTCCATGTTCGCTTCTGGACAAGTTATCCCAAACCTTGTAAAACTAGTTCACACATTTATTAGCCTCTGTAAGTCTGGACCACGTGATACTGACGCCGTGCGTGGCCTTCAGATGGCAGTGTTCTCAAGATTGTTGTTCCTAACTCTAAACCACTTTAGTATCCAGTTGATCACCAGAACACTTATCTAATAGAAAATAAAAGAAACTGGACATGCGTATTAGAATCTGATACTGTTCTTTGTTTGTGCGTGCGGGCTGGAAAAAAAAATTATTGTTTATCATGTGCATCAGTTGCATTTTAAGATTTGAATTACCCCCTCCTTAACATTCGTGAAGATTGTTGCATCTAGGTATTTAAAATTGCATAACTTTTCTTGATTGTTTAATAAATATATATTATATGTATTTGTGCCTTCTACGCTAGGTGTGTGTTAATTTTCTGTCGTTGTCAATCAGTCTCTCTGGGACAATTTTAATGTAAACCACGAAATGTTTATATGTCATGTTATTCTCCCATTTCCAATAGAAGTCAGATCCTTTGTGACAGTCAAAACTCTACATTTTCTCTCAAGTTGCAATGTCAACCCTTCGTCAATGATTCCTGTTCAATTTGAATGGAATTAAATTAAACATGTGGTTGTTACATGACTTAATTTGGTAGCACATTAAATCTTTATCCCACCATATTTCTCTGAAGACTCACTTTAATCCCTAAGATTTGATATGACAGATCAACTAATTTTTAAGTCATGCGATAGACCCATGGTCAGTTTCAGTTCATCTAAGAAGCATCGACACTTCTAAGAAGGTGGTGTGTCTGTGTTGGACAAGTGTCGGACACCGATACTCATCGGACATTTCATGACACATGTCCAAATGTTTAGATATTATTTTAAAATTGTTTTTTAACACAGGCTGTCGGGCACACTTGGGACCCTTGGGGACAGGCATGACCATTGCTTAAACATATATGAAACACATTACAATTTTGAACAAAATAACTAAAAGGATACAATGATAAAAGAACAGCTTTAAACTTTAGATAATAGTGTTGTGTTGCAGTTTTTAAATTCTATTTGTAATGATAATATCTATGACATATCTAAAATATATAAAATTATATGCTTTGTGTGCTCCTCACATATCGTGTCCTGCATTTTTTTAAAAAATTGTCCTATCAATGTGTCCGTGTTGTATGTGTGTAATTTCGTGTCATATGCCCATGTCCATACTTGTTAGCTGTTCCTCTTCTAAATGGAAGTTGATAGAGGGTTGACATTGAAATTTAACTAGAATTACAGGGTTGCGACCATCAAAATTGGAAGTACATGAATTAAAGTGGAATTTAAGGTAAAATACAACGGTGCAAACTGTAATTTATCCTTTACCAATTTAGCATTATGTACCCATTGGTTTTTGTTTTTCTTTTTTCTCCCACATTTGTGTGTCGAGTATTTTGTTTCCTTTTTTTTTGTTTTTTTGTTTTGGGTTGATCTTTTCTTACTTTTTCTGAATTTCTATTGCTGATCTATATGGAAACACTGAAATTAAGTTTTTTAGTTGTCTTTTTACATTTGAATTAGGATTCTTTGGGTGAAAGAGACTCCTGGAGGGAGCTTTTTGATGTTGTGATTGCTAAAGCGAATAAACCAGAATTTTACACATCCGAGAATCTGTTCCGGTATTTTCTTCAACTCTAAGCTCTCCAGCTGTTTTGTCACATTTTTACATTAAAAAACGGAATATTGCTTTCTTGTGCTTCCTACTTTGACAGCTTCCCTTAAAATATTTCCGATCTTTGTTTTTTGATTGAGCCTTTTAAAGGACTGATTGTGTGATGTAATTTTGCTTCTGTAATTTGTGGGCTTATTTTGTTGAATTCTCTTATAGTTTTAACATTGCAATTTTGTTTTTTTGTTTTGTGTACTTCTTGCCTCTACATGGGCTTTGTCCCTTTTCAAGGGTTTTTAATGGTCATAGAAGCCGCATTTGAGGTTGGATAGCAGCTATGAATCTTGAAATTGGTTTTGACAGCTGAGGTTCTTTGAGGTGCTATTCTCTTTAATTTAGTTATATTACTTGGACTTAGGTGAGAGTGGGCCTGGGCGCAACGGTAAGGTTGCACCATTGCAACCTGGGTTTCACAGGTTCAAACCACAGAAAAAGCCTCTCTGCACCTAGGAGTAAGGCTGCATGCATTTGATGCTCCCCAAACCCCGTAGTAGCGGGAGCCTTGTGCATTGTGACTGCCCATTACTTGGTCTTAGGAATGTACATCAAATGTGGATACATGTCCAAGTGTCAGGTTGATTCATTGCCAAGTCCAAAAGATACAAGGACACGACAAAATGTTCATATTTTTCTTTGTTTTTGTTTGTGCTGTAAATAAAATGGTACCGTTACGTAACATTAAGCATCAAACATGGGTAATTCACTCTATTTGTGACAACTATCTAACAAAAGTAACATAGTAAAAGAGTTTTGTTTGTATGTACAACTATATAGTAAACTTGAATTTCTAGACATGTTTGCTAGGTGTGTGTCCAATGAAATATGCTGGACACACATTCCATGTAGTAACCATATAGTTGATGACTTGGGCAGAGCTATGCATAGAGTAGTGGGTTCAATTGAACCCACTGAACTTTGATTTTTCTATATTTAATAACTAGGAATAAAGAGAGGGATTTTAATAATACAGTATTGGGATTAATGAATTATTAGTAAAGAATATAGACATCAATTGAGTTAAGTGCTCTGGTTCTCTCTCTAACTCTAGGGTTTACCCTTAGATTGGGGGTTTTGTTCTATGTCTCTCGATTTTGAACCTGATTGCAATGTTTTTGCCTGATGTAGTAAAACAAATATCTTAAATGTCAAATTGAGTCCTATGCTCAAGTGTCATAAGTTTTCTTCTAAGTATTCCATTAGCTTGGGCTGTTAGTGGCCGCAATCTATAAATAGGTGATGTAAGCTTAATTGTACTTAGTTTTAAATTGAGGAATATAGACATTAATTGAGCTAAGTTGCTTTGGTTCTCTCTCTAACCATAGGGGGGTTACCCCTAGGTCGGGGGTTTTGTTCACTCTTGATTTTAAACCTAATTGCAATTTTGTTAACTCATAGTTTTAAATTAAAGAATATAGACATCAATTGAGTTAAGTGCTCTGGTTCTCTCTCTAACTCTAGGGTTTACCCTTAGATTGGGGGTTTTGTTCTATGTCTCTCGATTTTGAACCTGATTGCAATGTTTTTGCCTGATGTAGTAAAACAAATATCTTAAATGTCAAATTGAGTCCTATGCTCAAGTGTCATAAGTTTTCTTCTAAGTATTCCATTAGCTTGGGCTGTTAGTGGCCGCAATCTATAAATAGGTGATGTAAGCTTAATTGTACTTAGTTTTAAATTGAGGAATATAGACATTAATTGAGCTAAGTTGCTCTGGTTCGTTCTCTAACCATAGGGGGGTTACCCCTAGGTCGGGGGTTTTGTTCACTCTTGATTTTAAACCTAATTGCAATTTTGTTAACTCATAGTTTTAAATTAAAGAATATAGACATCAATTGAGTTAAGTGCTCTGGTTCTCTCTCTAACTCTAGGGCTTACCCTTAGATTGGGGGTTTTGTTCTATGTCTCTTGATTTTGAACCTGATTGCAATTTTGTTGCCTGATGTAGTCAATTGAGTTAAGTGCTCTGGTTCTCTAACCATAGGGGGGTTACCCCTAGGTCGGGGGTTTTGTTCACTCTTGATTTTAAACCTAATTGCAATTTTGTTAACTCATAGTTTTAAATTAAAGAATATAGACATTAATTGAGTTAAGTGCTCTAGTTCTCTCTCTAACTCTAGGGTTTACCCTTAGATTGGGGGTTTTGTGCTATGTCTCTCAATTTTGAACCTGATTGCAATGTTTTTGCCTGATGTAGTAAAACAAATATCTTAAATGTCAAATTGAGTCCTATGCTCCAGTGTCATAAGTTTTCTTCTGAGTATTCCATTAGCTTGGGCTGTTAGTGGCCGCAATCTATAAATAGGTGATGTAAGCTTAATTGTACTTAGTTTTAAATTGAAGAATATAGACATTAATTGAGCTAAGTTGCTCTGGTTCTCTCTCTAACCATAGGGGGGTTACCCCTAGGTTGGAGGTTTTGTTCACTCTTGATTTTAAACCTAATTGCAATTTTGTTCACTCATAGTTATTTTGTTTTGCATTCGTTGCGTTCTTCCACTTTGTTTAATTCTGTCTTTCGTATCCTTCTTGTCTTTATTTTCTGAACTCCATAGAGAAATTATTTTATGCTATACTGATGAATTCTTTTGGTTATCTTTTCCATTGTTTGTTTTGGGACTTTGTGTAGCTGTTATGATGAAGAGAAGGATACCTTAGCTTTCTCAAAGGTGGATTCATTTCTTCCAGATCGAGTATACTACCACGGATGCCTTAAGTTCTTCCTCCAAATTACAAAGCGGAATGGTCCAGAGGTAATTCATTTTTGACATGCTTGTTGGACAAGATAATAATTGAAAGATTTCAGTCACTTTTGCAAATGTACCTCTAAATTAAACTTAGTTATGTGTTTGCTTATAATTGCCAATATTTATTTTCCTCCTAAACCATAATATAGCTAATATACTTTGGGGATCATCTATTTAGTGACTTGCGAGGGCCTTCAAAAGCTGGGTGGCGTACTGCTGCCATCATCCATGAGTTAGAAGTATGTCTTCAATTCCATTAATTACAAGTGGTTTTTTCATTTCTTGCCAGTACTTTCCAAAAAAACCAATTAATCACTTTTGTTCGTGTACTTGGAAACTTTTGACGGTTTGTAATGTTGAATATTGATTTTGAGAAGAGGTGATCTCGAAACTTGATTCTTTGATTATGTCTTCTTCTAGTAAACAAGATATCCCTATTTATCTAATTACTGAATCTAATCTTGAACATCTTTTCTTTTCATCTTTTTAAAATTATTTATTATTATCCCTATTTATCTTTTTTATTTTATCTTTTGATGGTTTTTTCATCTTATTATTATTATTATACATATGTAATTTTTGTATTTTTTGCATCATCTTGATGCTTTTCTAATAAAGTTTGTTTATTTATTCAAAAAATATATATATATATATATGTATGTATGTACTTTGCCCACTAAAAAATTGATATTCATGATTAGAACATAAAGTTAGTTCAATAGAAGTTGAAAGAGAAAAATGCTATTTTTTTCTTTTTTGTTTTCAGAAGAGTTACTAATGGAAAATAATGTCTGGCACAACACTGTCGAAAACATGAGGCAAGAATGCGTTGAGGCAAGAATGCGTTGAAGCATGAATTGACCTAGCGATGTGAACCTTAGGGGAGGTGCACTAGTGAGCGACGTCCTTTCCTGCTATGATGCGCAAAGCCAAGCTTGATAGGAGCCCGAGCTAAGAGAATTGAACAAACCTTTGAACGAATCTTAGGATTGAAAATGGATAATTTGCAATCATGATTCACGATGTTTAGATACATCATAAGAAAATCATCCAGCTCCAACTTATCTTAAAAATCTCTTCTTTTATCTTAGATGAAAACGGTGCTCCACAACTCATAGCATAGTTGCTGCTTCTTCTTCTTCTTCTTCTTCTTCTTCTTTTTCAATCTACAACAAAAATAAACTTTATTAAAAAAGCGAAACAAGTGAAAAAGGAAAAACGGATGACAAGAAGTTCGCCAAAAGATGTGAAAAATGAAAAAAAAAAATAAATAAAACAAAAAACAAAAACCAATATTACAAATCACACACTGCTTTCCAATTTCTATAAATTAAAACAGAGGAATTCCCTTAAAAGGGGATGATAGTGTATAGAAACTCAAAAAGAAGACACAATAGATTCTATTCCATAAAGCTTCAATTTCCTCCTCTTTTCTTTTTTTTGGTGTACTTCTTGTTTCCATCTTATGGCATTTAATATTTTTTATTAATAATTTATTCACTCTTTGTTTCCGATAAAAACAAACAAACAAAAATAAATCCTCGATATTATCGTAGAAAAATCCTTGCATTTCTTTCCAATCAAATCACCCAAAATACTACACAAATTATAGAAACCCAAAGCCAAGAAATCTCCGCAACTGAAGCAATATATGCAATATAGCCATAGCCACTGGACAATACAAAAATAGATGACTTATACTCTCTTCTTGCCTCCTATACATGATACATCACTGTGGAAGCAAAGGACAATTGATCATTAGTTTTGAGTTTCGTATGAGCCTTAGACCACAATAGCTTTAACTTCAAGAGGCACATTATCGCATTCCAAATGACCTTATGAGAGTGAACACAAGTTGTTTATATAATTGGGTGCAGTTGACCCTGAAAGAAATTTTGTCGGCTCAGTGAAAATTTTTCCTGTGCGGTTACGCGATGCCTCTGTTTTTATTTATTTATTTATTTTAATCTGGTTCCTAATTTCTTAATTTGATAAAATTCAATCGTCTTTTCAAATATTTGAAGACTGCATTTTTGCATGTGTTCACTTGGTGATTATGCAGAATGAGATACAGATACAGAACGAGGATAGTTACCGTTTTGAACATGTATGATCATACACATTTTATTAACCCTACTTGAGATAGGCTTTTGGCAGTGTTATTTTATGTTCAGGAAATGGTGCTTGCATGCCTTGATGATTTCTTCTTTTCTTTTTCTGAAGATTGCATAACGATTTTTATTTTTATTTTTTATTTTCTTAAAAAAAATCAGTCTTGTACAAAGAAAATACTTGATTTTGAAAGAAATCTTTGAACTGCTACTTGAAACTCTCTCTCGCTCTCTCTGACTTGTTCTTGTGCATGCCTGTGCCAACATGTGCATGATGGAATATAATATATTTTAGTATGCTTATGGTTTAACTCGATTAACAGATTTCTTTATAATATTGACCTGAATAAGTTTATTTTATTTTTTTTTATTATTACTATATTTTTTTTAAACCTTGATTTATGATGCTGTTAAAAGAATTTCTTATTTCTTATCTGTTGTCGGTAATTTGGCTTGCTTGTTGCACATGAATAGTTTCAAATTCAAAGGTGCAGTACTTCTATCGTTGTCTCAGTTGAGAATTCGACTTAAATTCCATTTTTAATTTTGAATTTCTTAGTTCTTTCTTGTTTCTATATTTCTATGTGGACACAGGCGAAATTTCATATAATACAAGGGCTTCTTGGTAAATTGCATGCAACTGTTACTAATAGTCAGAGAAGTGAAGATTTCCGGTCTCTTTTGTGGGAGCTAAATGAGGAGAGGCAGAAGGCATGATGTGCAATGAAAAACATGTTTAATAGATCTTTCAGAGCCACTTTCCTCACTGACACAGGTCAAGAATCTGCTTTTGCTTATAACATCCATCAATATGCTGATATGTATACCAGTAAGGCAGAGAATTTTCTGTTTTATCCACACGAGGCATGGCTTCATGTACCTTCTGATATAAAGATAATGCCGCATCACTTGAAGGTATGTTTTTCTTCTTTCCTTTTTCATATCTTTCGCTCTCCTCAGCCAATAGCTTAGCTCTTCATAAACCTGGCAAGAAGAAAAATCGAAAATTCTCTTTATATCAAAAGGTACCGAAAATTCCTATTGGTTGAGGAGAGTGAAAGATATGAAAAAGGAAAGAAGGAAAACATACCTTCAAGTGATGCGGCATTATCTTTATATCAAAAGGTACATGAAGCCATGCCTCGGGTGGATAAAACAGAAAATTCTCTGCCTTACTGGTATACACATCAGCATATTGATGGATGTTATAAGCAAAAGCAGATTCTTGACATGTGTCAGTGAGGAAAGTGGCTCTGAAAGATCTATTAAACATGTTTTTCATTGCACATCATGCTTTCTGCCTCTCCTCATTTAGCTCCCACAAAAGAGACCGGAAATCTTCACTTCTCTGACTATTAGTAACAGTTGCATGCAATTTACCAAGAAGCTCTTGTATTATATGAAATTTTGCCTGTGTCCACATAAAAATATAGAAACAAGAAAGAACTAACAAATTCAAAATTAAAAATGGAATTTAAGTCGAATTCTCAACTGAGACAATGATAGAAGTACTACACCTTTGAATTTGAAACTATTCATGTGCAACAAGCAAGCCAAATTACCGACAACAGATAAGAAATAAGAAATTCTTTTAACAGCATCATAAATCAAGGTTTAAAAAAAATATAGTAATAATAAAAATAAAATAAACTTATTCAGGTCAATATTATAAAGAATTCTGTTAATCGAGTTAAACCATAAGCATACTAAAATATATTGTATTCCATCATGCACATGTTGGCACAGGCATGCACAAGAACAAGTCAGAGAGAGCGAGAGAGAGTTTCAAGTAGCAGTTCAAAGATTTCTTTCAAAATCAAGTATTTTCTTTGTACAAGACTGATTTTTTTTAAGAAAATAAAAAATAAAAATAAAAATCGTTATGCAATCTTCAGAAAAAGAAAAGAAGAAATCATCAAGGCATGCAAGCACCATTCCCTGAACATAAAATAACACTGCCAAAAGCCTATCTCAAGTAGGGTTAATAAAATGTGTATGATCATACATGTTCAAAACGGTAACTATCCTCGTTCTGTATCTGTATCTCATTCTGCATAATCACCAAGTGAACACATGCAAAAACGCAGTCTTCAAATATTTGAAAAGACGATTGAATTTTATCAAATTAAGAAATTAGGAACCAGATTAAAATAAATAAATAAATAAAAACAGAGGCATTGTGTAACCGCACAGGAAAAATTTTCACTGAGCCGACAAAATTTCTTTCAGGGTCAACTGCACCCAATTATATAAACAACTTGTGTTCACTCTCATAAGGTCATTTGGGATGCGATAATGTGCCTCTTGAAGTTAAAGCTATTGTGGTCTAAGGCTCATACGAAACTCAAAACTAATGATCAATTGTCCTTTGCTTCCACAGTGATGTATCATGTATAGGAGGCAAGAAGAGAGTATAAGTCATCTATTTTTGTATTGTCTAGTGGCTATGGCTATATTGCATAGATTGTTTCAGTTGCGGAGATTTCTTGGCTTTGGGTTTGTAACGCCCTCAAAATAAACCCATAATATCATACATTCAAGATATAGGAAAGAGATATTATATTACAATCATCAGAGTATTCTTACAACATGCATTACATATTGACAGTAAAAGTAATCGCCCTATGGGCTTACAACTTCCCAAGACAACGCTTGGTTGCAAAAAGAGAGTGCAAACTCTATACAAAGAAAGCCGTTGGCTTGATATACATGTAATACAACAAAACAACAAAAGGTGGTCTAATAGCCTCAAGCCTTCCAAGCTATGTCCATGGAGGTGGCATAACACCTGTACCTGAAAAAGGTGGTCTAATAGCCTCAAGCCTTCCAAGCTATGTCCATGGAGGTGGCATAACACCTGTACTTGAAAATGATGTCCCATATAGGGTGAGCCAACGCCCAGTAGAGATATGCTAAACATAGTATGAACAGTAACTAAAACGTTAGCAATTGATAAACGTTTAACTCTTACACAACAACTTATAACACATTACAATCCCATGACTAATATGACCATGTTCTATTCCAATTTCCATTTCTTATCAAATTCTCAATTCATAACTATGACTCATAACTTGGCCAATCAATTTAAACGAGATCACATCTCATATCAACCGTATTTCTATTTCAGGCGAGATAATAACTCATTTTAAACATTTCATACCTCATAATAGATACACATTTTAGTACTGTATCAAACTCAAACAAAACACTTCCATACTTCACAAATGATACACATTTTAGTGTTGTATCAATAACAAACAAAAACACTTCTATACTTCACAAATGATACACATTTTGTTGCTGTATCAATATCAAACAAAAATCCGGTTTAGAGGTCCATCCCCCATCTTCCAATAAACCATGGAGTACATCCCCTATCTCCTCCCACACA